GAGGAGGAGGAGGAGGAGGAGGAGGAGGAGGGCAGCAATTGACGTTTTAGTAGAGGCATTATATAATGCAGTAAAGATTTCGCTTATTCATTGCCTACATACCCCAGGTACAGCAGCATCCACCACATAAACACAGATATGTACACCACATAAACACAGATACATCCCTCTATGTACACGGAAGATTGTTCTTCAGACATCGGCACCTCCCAGTTGGACATCCTTTCTTGCAGCTGCACCTGACCAGTTCTTGACAAGCTTTCGCTGTCTCCGGGTTGCTGGTAAAGAACGGCTGAAGCCCATTCTCTGCAGCACGCTTCCCCATTCCAGAGTAGAAGGCAGAGGAGCATTTACAAAAAATATTTACATTCAGGGATGATGCCCATGTAATGTGTCCAGCTTGGTAGGCCGCTCGTTTGGCATGGTGCAGTAGGGCGTTTACTGTTGGCGGAAGGCGGTCAATGACCCTTCCTTTTTGTGCAAACAGTTCCTTTCTGGCATCATTAACGGACTCACACACAGAATGGTTGTCGTACATCTTGATGGTAAACTTCTGTAGCTCACTGAAATTCCTATCTGAGATGTCAGTTGGTGCAGTTGATAGACTCATTCGAGATATTCGCCGACTGGTCCCATGCTCTCCCTATCCTATCGAAACTCCAGACAGAATCACAGCCTGAAAATGCATGGAAATAGAGAAGTCCCTCGGTTTTTTCGGGTCCTAGGGCGGTGACGAGCTCATGAATGGGCAGGTATCTGAAATCTTTTCCAGTGCCGAAAGCAATCCATGACTGTGGACAGTTTACTTTGGAAAACAAAGCAATGGCCAGGCCGACTACATCCATGTCAACAGATCTGATTGTTATACTCTGGTGTCCTGACAGCGCTGCGTGATACGCATGAAGCAACAGTCTCACATCGGTTTCTTCTGTATTGCACGGGCCTAAATTTCTTTTGGTCGAGTTGTTGCTGATGACGTTAGGACCCACAGTCGCAATCATAGTTTTCTATTTGACATTCTCAACAAGATGACGAGACAACAATGAAAAGAGAGCCAGTTTGTTGAAGTCGTTCCCTAAAAACTCTTTCCAGTTTCCTGGGACTGTACTCTCCGGTGTCACTCGCCTGGGAATGCCGTGGCCTCTTCTAGATCTTGTTGTTCTTTTGATGCTGTCCGGGAGGTACTGGTCAAAGACAAGGTCAATTTGTGTGGCTCTTTCCGATAGGGACAAGATACTTGATGTGAACAAGTCAGCCTACTCTGCATAAGACATTCGAAGATTTGGAGTAATCAGATTTGCCATCTCAGCACCGTCAAAAACAATCGTGGATGATGCAGGAAAATCGTTATTTTCCAAAGAGCTGATGGGGAAGCACTGGAACAGTTGTTACTCGTTGACGAATGTATTGGGCAAAGAGGGTGGGTAGGCATTATTTTCATGGACAAAAAACTCGTCCAGATTTCCTCCTCTTCGTTGACACGCAAAGTAGAGCCCAGAAAAAGGTTTGACTCTGTTTTCAATGCCTTGAGTTTTTCGGGAACATTTGGTTGTTTTGAGGGTTTTGTGGACAACAATTTCATTTTGTTGAGCTTTAAGGGATCTTTTACTTTTACTCCCCGCTTCTTGAATCTCTCCTCAACAAAAAGTTCAAACTGGCATTTTCCGGTGTCGAAGTAAAGGTACGCGAAGCTGCAGAGGATGTAATCAAGGAGGTTGGTGCCAATGTGACAATTTTCAGTGATGGATCGGCTGTCGCAGTATACCATGAAGATGGATCAGTAGCAGTAGTGATAATGAATGATGAGCCACCACGAACAGAAATAATTAGAACTGAAGGTGCGTTCCTCACATCATCTTATGACGAGGAATGCCAGGCAATGATGTCTGCTGCACAGTGGATTGTTGACAATTGCCACAGCAGAACCAATGTTCTGATCTTGACTGACAGTCAGTCTCACTGTAAGGAACTACAAGGCAACCCCTCAGATGTAAATGATTTGCGCTACAAGCTCAGTGAAATCACAGCCACAATAAAGATCCAGTGGATTCCAACCTATGTTGAAATCGAAGGAAATGAGGCAGCAGACCAACCTACCAATGAAGCCAGAGAGATTGAAAGAGACAGGCAACCAATAGCATACAGGGGAGTCTTTCCAATGATCAAGAGGGGAATGAGAGACCCACCATGCAGAGCTTAGTTAGTTGCAGCAATTGGAGGATGTTTATTCTTGGTAGGCTACTCCAATAAGCAATATTAATCACACGTCGCAGGGACCAGACTGAGCTAGCGACAATGCGGTGGGACCATCATTGAAGCAAGAGATGGTATCAGAACTTTGTGAATTAAGAGCTCAACTAGCGTTGCCAAAGATGAAAAGGAGGATGCTAAACATAATATGTGTTTGAATGTCCAGGAACAATGGCGACTCGAATGGATTTATTTGGACGAGTGGAAGTGCCTCTGAGTATAATGACAATGGGGCCGAAAAATAGCCTCGCTCTCTCTCTCTCTCTCTCGAATCGTGGAGTAAAACAACAAAAAATCAACAGCAGCAGCAGCAATATTACGATACCATTCAAATTTTCTTACATGTGTGTGTGTGTGTTTGTGTGTGTGTGTGTGTGTGTGTGTGTGTGTGTGTGTGTGTTTGTTTAGATGGATAGATAAATAGACATTGCGTATGATGATATATTTATCTATCTCTACAATGAATAATATTATTTAATTGTATTCATTATGTAGGCCTATTACTTTAGATCTTGTTTTAATCCCCCCCCAAACAGAGTCCAGACAAGTGTTGCTGCGGTAACTCCCTCCAGGGCGCCGATCACGTGACCAAGAGTCTGTGTCCTCTCTCTTGTCGGGGCTCTACCGCACAGCCGTGTGGTGGGGGGAGTGGTTATTTCTCTGTTTACCTCACTGGTGTGTGTGTGTGTGTGTGTGTGTGTGTGTGTGTGTGTGTG